TATCTATATCTAACATATTGTTATTTGTGATTACCATTTTTTTTTTAGTTTTAACAGGATTTTCAGATCCTGGTATAATACCAAGAAAACAATTTTTACTATTAAATTAAAATTAATAAAATTCTCAATAATTTTAACTATTTTTAAATGGAAATGATAATAATAATCCTATATAACCTTCAACTTACCAATATTGCTCAACTTGTTAAATTTATAGACCACCAAGGGCTTCTCATTGTAGTCATTGCAATAATTGTGTTTAAGTTTTTGATCATCATTGTCCTTTCGTAAATAATTGCATAGGAAAAAGAAATTATAGATTTTTTATTGTTTTTATATGCTCTTTAGTTGCCTTATGTATTTCACTAATTTGTGGAATAATTATTTGGATTATTTTAATAAGTTAAAATAATAATGATTAAGATAATAAACGTAGTTTTATTAAAATATAAATATATATATATATATATATTTATATATTTATAAATTTATATATTTTTTAAAGCTAGTTTAACATTTATACTCATTTTTGTTATTCCTATAGGTCTTATATGTTTGGCTCTTATATTTTTATGTTTATGTCATGTTTTTTAATTGCAATGTATTTTATTTTTTTATTTATTTTATTATTAAAAAAGTGGAAAAACTACTAAAGAAATTCTAAAACATAAAAATGTAGATAAAAAATTAGAAGGATTTAATTGGTTAAAAACTGAACCTTCTTTACTTAATTTAAATTAAAAAGTTCCTGTTTAAATATTATTATAATTGTATTAATAACTTTGATATTAATTAATTTTTATTAAAAAATAAAAACAAAGAAATTATTATATTAATAATTTTTCATTTTTTAAAATATATAAAATATTATAAATATTTTTTCATCTAATAAATTTATATTATTTACAAAAATAATTATAAATTAAAAAAAAAAATGTGATTTTATATTATATACGTAAAATATATTACATAATAATATATATAATTTTAAAAAATAAAATATATTATTAAATTAAAAAGTTAAATTTAATTTAAATTTTTTTTTCTAATTTTATATAAATAATTACTCATAAAAATGTATATAAATATAGTAAAACTATTTATCTAAAATAATAAAAAATAATTTTTTACAAAAAGAAATATTTTTAATGACATTATTTTAAAAAATAAAAATTTTATTATAATAAAATAATAATCTTTTTAAAAAAAAAAAATTAAATATTTTTGAATACATTAATTAATAAATAAATATATAAATAATTTATTAAAAATATAATAGATATAATTTTTATATTTATATTATTAGATTTAAAAAACTTTAATTGTTTAATTCAATAAATTTACTTGTAAATATTATTTTCTACTTATAAAAAATAAAATATAATTAAATAAATTTTAATAATATATAAATTTTTACGTATAATTTATAAACCAACATAAAATTTTAATCAATATTATTAACAAAATAAAAATTAATTCATATTATTAAATGAAAATATATTTTTTTTTATATATATATATATTATTAATTTTTATATAAAATTTGACTATATTATTTTTTTTATTTTAATTAAAATTATTTTTATCTTTTTTAAATAAAAATTATATTTAAAATATTAAAATGATATTGTAATGCAAAATAAAATTTTTATTTTTGAATTTCTATTAAAAATTTAAATTGGTATTTTATTTGAAAAATAAGAATTTATATATTAATAACAAACCTAACTAACGATAATTATTTATTTAAAAGATTGTAAAAAATACAAGATACATATTTCTTTATATTTTTTTTATAAAGAAAAAAAAATTATTTATATCTTTGTTAACTTAAAAAAATATTAAAAATAAAAATATTTTAAACAATAATTATTAATTTATCAAAAAAAAAATATTTGTCTTTAATCCCGAAAACTATATAAGTATTTTAATCAGCTTAAAAATAATTCTATTAAAAATTTAATATATTAAAGCAAAAAAAAAATTAGTAATTTTAAATTATAAATTTATAAATAATAAAACAATTTTTATTAATAATTTTTTTTTATTAAGTTTTAAAAATTTATATAAAATGATAAGTGATTTTTTTAAAAAATATAACTTAATAATAAATTATTTTCAAATTTAATATGATTTTACTATAATATTAATAAAATTTAATTTTTCATTATATTATATATTTAAATTTTTTTTTTTATATTATTATTTATTATAAATTTGAATAATTTTAAATTATAAAATTATTATTTCTTTTATTTTCTTTGTTAATTAAATTTTTTAATTTTTTTAAAAAATTAAAAAAATATCAATTAATAAAAAAATTAAACTATAATTCTATTTGTTTAATTTTTTTTTTTAATTAAATCAAAATTTTTATAATAAAATATTATCTATATATTATAATATATATATATATATATATATATATATAATTATAGTATTTTTTTATTTTAATTCAAGAAACTATAATACTAAAGTTAATATAAAAAATCATTAGTAAAAATTACTATGTTATCTAAAACTAGCAGTTTAGTTTTATTCATATTAATTTTAGGAATTTTAATTTTTTGATTATTAAACGAAAAATCTATTTTAAATAAATTAATTCTACATTTATTAATTATTAAAAGTAAAAAACTAAAAGCTATTAAATTATTTTATATTTTTAAGATTTAATTATTATTCACTATATTTTTATTAAATATTAGAATTTTTCAAAATAATATTATTATTCTAATTCTTGCTAAAATAATAATTATTATTTTTTTATTCATTTTAATCACTTTTAATTATATTTTAAAATTAAAACTAAATATTATTATTAAAATTTTATTGTTAATTTGAATTTCTGTTCATCATTTAATTATCTTTAGAAATAATTCCTTAATTATTTTAATTAAAGTTAATCTATTAATCAATGTTTCTATTAATTATTTAGTTATTTTTATTAATTTTTCCTTATTTAATATTATTACTATAATTTTTAATTTATTAATAATAATTTTTTTATAGACTTATATGATTTTCTTAAAAAGTGCAATTTTTTTAAACTATTTAATTATTATTGATTTATACTTATTGATAATTATTATTAATATAATTCTTATTATTAGAATATAATTAATATTTTTAGTTTTACATTAATTATTATTAATTATTTTAAATAATTTTATTATGTTATTATTATATTTGATTATTTGTCAAATTCTAAATTTGATTCATATTATTAATCTAAACATTATTTTATAAAAATTTAAGTTTTTATATATTGGAAATTTATTAATAATGTTCTTTATAATAAGCAAAGGTTTCACTTTTTACTATTGTTATTTTTTAATTCTAAAATAAACAATTTTTATCATTTAAGTCTGTCAAAATAAATATAAAAAATATGATTAATAAAAAACACATCATGCTCATACAATTCTCGTAATACAAAAAGAAAAATAAATAACTTAAGACGTTTTTAGTTTATAAAATTTTATTAATCATATTTATTGTTTTAATTTTTAGAATTTAAAATAAAAAACAATAATAAAAATTCTATTTTTATAATATTATTAAATATGTAATTAAATAGAAACTTTCTATATATAATATAATTATATTTGAGAATAAAAAAATTACATATCATTTATTTAACTATATTTAAGTAGATTAAATAGATTATATTTTTATAAAAAATAAAAAATAATAATTTATTCATTTCTAGATAAATTACATATATTTAAATATGTATATAAATAAATAAAATTATTATTATGATATATATATATATATATATTAATATATTTAAAAAATTAAGAATCCTAAAAAAGAAAGAAACTAAATAAAAAGATTTTCGATTCATTCTGTAATAGTGTCTGAAAATCTTTTAATTTATGTCATAATATGTCCTTAAGTTTATTAGGTTTTGATTTATTGTTTTGAAAGTTATTAAAAATAAAAACTTATTTATTCTTATTAATCTAATTTATTAATACATAATTAAACAATATTTTTTTTTATATCCAACTAATCCTATTTACAGAAAAAATAACTTTTAAGCTATCTTCATCAATTTTAATATCATTTTCTTTTCTTAAAAACTTTTAATATAATAAATATAAATAAATAAAAATAAATAAAAAAATATATATATATATATATATAATATTTTATATAATTATTTATATATATATAATTTTAATAATATATTTATCATATTATTACAACTGAAATTATAGCTTTTTTAACAATATGTTCACTGCAAGAATTAAGTTTATCCGCTAACATTTTTCTTAATATAGGTATAAATTACGTAGGTATATGATTTTAAAAACAGAGTGCATTTGCAAATATTTCCACTGTCTACCATGTGTATATTAAAAACGATTTTAATAATAGTATTTCAGGAAGACTTTAATCTTATAATAATATATGAGGAAAATTTTAGGCATAGACATCTTGAATTTTCTGCTCTTACATTTTCGGAATTAATTGAAATAATATTTCAATGCAATTTTATATTTTTTCCTTTAAAGAAGTTATATTATGCATTTTTTTTTCTTTATAGTATGTAAGGCAATCATCATATAAAACTTTAAGTATGTTGTCATCTACGATTGTAAAACTGTTCTTTATATAATTAAAAAAAAAAAAAATGAATATTTTTTTTTTTTTATATAAAAAAAAACTTATGAAATTTTTAAACTTAAATTATTAAAGTTCTTTGTTAAGGCGACTATTTCGTTGTTTAATTTTTCTTTTTTCATTATTGTTTTGTATATAATACATGTTATTATTAAAAATATTGCAAAATATATTTTTTCTATCATTTACTTTAATATATATTTATATATATATTATGTATTTATTAATTTCTTATAATTTATTTATACTTATATATTATTTGATTAATTAAAAAATTCTTGAATAATAATATGTCAATTAATATAATTTTTAATATAATATATATTATAATCTTTTTAGTAATTATTTATCAATTTGAAAAGAAATATAAATAAAAATTTAATATATCTAAATAAAGTAAAAATACAAAATATAATAAATCTAAAAAAAAAAAAAATCATTTCTTTTTTTTAACTTCAGGTTCTATATTATCATAATAATAAACAATAGTCCATTAATTTTAAATTGCATTACATAATACTAATTTCGCAATTTTATCGCCTTCTTCTTTTTAAAATTCAACAATCTAGCCTAAACCATTAAACTAACTACTTAAAATTTATTATTATTATAAAATCTTGGCATTAGAACTATGTCTTAAAACATTAACCATAGTATAGGTTTTAAAGTATGTAATAATTTCGTTCCTAAGAATATATATATATATAAATATATATATATATATATATATATATATATATATATATATATATATATATATGAATTAAATACCATTTGTCTGGAGTTTTGTCTTCAAATTTAGGATAAGGACCTCCAACATATAGTTTTATTTCTTCCTATGTAACAAAAAATGGAAGAAGATTTTCTTTAAAAGTCTTTTTATCACTTTTTGAAAATGCTTCATTAAAATTTTAAAAAAATTCAATACAGCTTTACAATATTTCTTATTCTATATTTATTTATATTTTTTAATAACAAAAATATAATAAACAAAAACCTTTTTTTTTCAACATTTTTTCCATTTTTAATTCTTTTTACATCTTTGATTAAAATATTCCTTATACAAATTCTCCTTCCCATTTATTTCCTTACTTATCTATAAAATAACCTTCTCCATGCATTTTATGTTCTTTCCATTCCCCTTCATATAATGTTCCATCTGGAAATTCATAAATTCCCTATATATCTTTATATAAAGAAAAAATAATTATAAATATGTTATTACTTTTCCATTATGTTTTCCATCTTTCCATTCTCCAGAATAAATAGCACCACTGGTATATCTATTTTATTTTAAATATAATAATAAATCATTAAAAAAATACTTATAAACTCCAAAACCATTCATTTAATCATCTTCCCATGAACCCCTATATTCTTCGTTTCCAGCTTCATAACTTGTAGAACCTTTTGAAATTGAAAATAAAATTTATTATAGTATATATATATATAAATATTTATATATATATATATATATATATATATATATATATATATATAAGTTTATATATCTATCTATTTTTATAATTTTTTTTTTATTTTGTCTAAAAAAACAATCTACAAAAAATAATCACTAAAAAAATAGTTTATAGCTTTTTTTTGATTGAGTTTTTTTATTTAATTACTGAAATATAAAAAAACAATGCTAAAAAGTAATATATAAATAAATAATAAACCTTAAAATATTAAAACTCCTTCTCCATGTTTAACTTTTTAATTATTAAATAATTTCCATTAACCTTCATATACTAATCCATTTCTATATTCGAAACGTCCAAAACCTTCCTATTCAATTGTTTATTATAAATGTTCTTCTTTGGGAGGTTCAGGTTCTACAACTGGGGGTAATTATACGTTTGTTTTTTGTTTTTTTGACATAACTAAAAATAATAATATTTTATTTAAATATTTATTTATTTTAAATTAAATATGTTTCACAAAAAAAATATAAATAAAATTAAAGGATTGTAATATATTAAAAAAAAAAACATTTTTATCTTTATAAAAAAAATGTCAAACGATAAAATAAAAGAACTAGGATAATATTTAATTTTTTTAAAAAAAGAACTTGGAGAAGGTTCTTATGGTAAAGTTTACTAAGGCTTAAACCGTACAAATAATCAGTAAGTAGCAATTAAAATAATTGATCTAAAAAAAATACAAGAAAAATATAAAGATGATAATGATATATAAAAAAAAATAAAAAAAGAAATAGAAAATATGTAATTAATAAAAGGAAAAAATATAGTAGAAATGTTAGATAAAATAAAGTAAAAATATATATAAATATATAAATATATAAATATATATATATAATATATATATATATATATAAAATGTACAGTAAAAAATTATTTGAAAAATTAAAATCAATTTATAGAGATATAAAATATATATTTATAAATAAATTTTTTATTAAAAATGAATATTTTAAAATTTTTATTGCAATATTCTTAATTCATTATAATTTTTATTTTAGCATAACATTTTTATATTTAAATATATATTTATATAATTTTAAATTTAATTATATATTTTTATACATTTAATTTTTTATATTAATATAATTATAATTTTTTTTATTTCTATATAAAAAGAACTAAATCTAATTATTATATTATTCTTGAATTATGTACAGGAGGAAATTTACAATAACTATTAAATAAAAATGGGGGCTATATATCTGAAAACTAATCTATAAAAATTATTACTTAAATAATAGAAGGATATAAGATTCTCATTTCTAAAAACATGGTCCATAGAGATATAAAACCAGCAAATATTTTATTTAATGAAAATACTGCTAAACTTGCCGATTTCGGTTTTTCTAAAATCATTTCAAAATCTGATTATAATTCTGAATTAATTCATTCTTTAGTAGGTACTCCTTCTTATTGTTGCCCCTAAATAATTTCTAAATAACCATATTGTCCTCACAAAGCCGATATATGGTCTTTAGGTGTTCTTTTTTATCAAATGTTGTACCGAAAGTTACCTTTTACTGGGGAAAACTATTATGATTTATCGAAAAATATACTTGAGAAGCCTCTAAGTATACCAGAAATACCTCGTACTACCCCTTTAGTTAAGAAATTAATTGCTTCAATGCTTGAGAAAGATGAATATTAAAGAATTTCTTGGAATTAATTAATATTAGAAAATATATTTTAGCAATAAAATAATCCAGAGAAATTACTTGAATCCCTTAATAAATTTAATTCGATTGAAATTTAAAATATAGACCAAAAATTCAATGTAATGAAGTAGTATTGTCTAGAATATTTCAATGTAAGTAAAGAACCTTAAAATATATCTGATTTAATAGAAATAGGGGGAATATATTAAGATGTGCTTGAAGTATATATGAGATAATAGTCAAAGAACTCACATATTTAAAACGATATATTCAATGAATTTGCTAGTTCTGCTAATTAATCTTCTAAAATTTCATCAAGTACAATCAGCAATACTGCTTCTTTGACAAGTGAAGAGTTTAAAAGTTAAAATTATGAGGATTTGTACAATTAATAAGTAGTATTATAGTATAATTAGTCAACAATTAATATTTTGGTAAATAATTTTATCCAAAAAAGAAATAAAGGGATTTTTTTTATTCTTTTATCTTTAAAAATATTAGAATTTTAATAAACTAATAACAACTTAAATAATAATTGTGTACTTTTAACGTGCTTTTTTATGATAAAAAAAGGGTATTAAAAAATATATAGAGTATATAGGAGAATAAAATTAAATGAACCTGAAAAATATAATAAATTCTCAAAAGATTAATTTCAGTTATTTTTTGAGGATAAAAAAGCAAATATTTTAAGGCATTTTTTGATTTTTGATTTAAATTTAATAAAGGAAATTTTTGAATCTTTTTTTGAAAAAATAAAAGGATTTTTTTAAAAATAAAATTAAATATGCGATTTTTATCAAACAAGTAAGAAATTCTTACATTTAAAATGGGATGAGGCTAATGAATTTAATCCTTTTTTTAAAGAAATATTAGAAAAATTAAAAAGTTAATTTTATATTATTTTTAAAGAGGTTCAATGTAAGGATATCTTAGTTTTTTATTTATAATTTTAAGATATTTTAAATGAAAATTTTAATAAATAAGATTTTAATTTTGGAAAATATTATTAAATGTATGAATAGAATGATTAAGAATAATTATTATAATTTATAACATGATTTATATATATATTTTATATATATTAATAATATTTATTATTATTTTAGTTATAATTTTTTAAATTTTAAATCATTAAATATATAATATCTTTTAATTCATAATTATAAATATTAATAATTAATAAAAAAAATATATATTTATTTTTATTTTTAAAAGCATATAAAATTAATATATATATATATATATATATATATATATATTAATTTATAAATTTATAAATTTATAAATTTATATATAATTAGTCTCAATATTTTTAAAATTTTAACTTTTTAATATAAAATTTTTTAAATATTTTTATTATTTTCATATCTTTAAATTAAAATAATATTATAATTTTTATTTTTATTTTTATTTTTACTTATACATATTACATTTTTAAAATATTTTTTTAAATAATTTTATAAAATCAATTTTTAAATTTAATAATATTTATAAATATGTATAATTAAATAAAAATATAAAAAGTTTTAAAATTATATCATATAAATTATCTTATTATATTTTTACTAGTAATTTATTTTTAATATTAATAAATATTTTGTAATAAAGAATATAAAAATTAATTATTTTTTATAAATTTATGTTTACAAAATATTTATGTCATTAAAAAACCTTATTAAAACAAATATTATATAATTTATTTTAAAAGATTTTTACAAAATACTAAAAATAACTATGATAACTCAATTTTACTCTATTTATTAATAATCTTTAAAAATAATTTTCATATGCGTTTAATTAATACATGTTATATTACTAAAATAATATCTTTTATATTTTATTAATGATTTTTAATCTTAAAATTTAATACTTATATATAGTTTTTTTATTATTTTTTTAATTTAATTTTTATTTTATTTAAAAATATATATATAATAAATAATATCTTTATATCCATTTTTTAAAAATTTATTTTTTTATTTAAATTTTTCATTATAAAATTTTATTATCAAATAAAATAATATAAACATATATATTTAGTTTTTATTTTTATTTTTTTATTAAGATATATTTATTCAATTGTTTTCTTATTATTCTTTTGTTTTGTTTTATTATTATTTATATTCTTTTATATGTTCTTCTATACATTTTCTCGCAGCTCTCATATAACTAATTTTTTGTAAATAAGCGGAAAAATCATTTACATCAAAACCAAAATTAAAATAATATTAAGGTTCTTCTTAAATTTTTTTAAATAATTAATATTTTTAAACTGTAGTATGCTATTTTAAATCATATTAATTATTATCTAAATAATCAATGAGCATATTTGGTTCATTTTTTGTTGGTATATCTAAATAAATTTCGCATTCATCTTCTTCCATACTATTTTATTATTATCCATTAATTTAATTTCCATTATTTTAATTTTTATTATTCTCTTAATAATGATTATTTATCTTATGTTGATTGTTCATTTTTTATTTATATATATAAGTATATAGTATTAACTAATCTTTAATTTTATAATAATTATTTTTTTCAATTTTTAATATTAAAAATATATTTTATAAATTTTTATATTTTTCAAAAAGTTTTTTCTTTTTTTGATAATTTAAAAAATTGGAATTATATAAAATAATAATATATTTATATAAAAACTAAAAAAAAAAATTTCTGTTTTATATAAAAACTAAATATTTAAATATTTTTCAATTGTTTTTTTTCAAATTTATTTTCTTTTTTTATTCGGTCTTTTTTTTAAAAATAAATAAAATAATATTTTTTTTAAAATAAATATAATAATAATTTAAAAAAAATGATATATATATGCCTTTTTTAATTTTACTTAATTTTCTTTTACAATAATAAATTTAACAACAAGATCTCCTGGAATTTATTCGTCTGATTCTAAATTTCCCTAAATATACATATAAAAAAATATATAAATATATAAATATATATATATATATATATATATATATATATATATGTATTTTTTTTATATTCATATTTACTTTTTTAAAATATTTTATTATTTCTCCATCAATAACTTTTTTTGGAATCTAAATTTTTATATGATTCTTTTATTTAAAAACTCCAGTATTTTAACAATTTCTACATATTTGATATTTGTATAGTTACTTGCTTGAATATTTGCATTTACATACTGTATTTCTTTCAAAATATAATATTTTTTATCCTCCCATTTATATTTCTTATTCAGAAATCTGAAGTATTTATTCGATATTTGAGCCTTTTATTTATTTTTAACCATTATTATTATATTATTCTTATTTTAATCCATTTAACGTTTCATTTTTAATTTACTAATCATCAATATCATTAAATTCAAATGCCTTTTCAGTTCTTAATTTTAATTTAAAATTTATTTATAAATTAATACATTTTTAATAAACTACGTATATTTTTTTGGCATAAGAAATTCTTCCATTATAGTATTTTAATAATATTATTTATTTTTGATATCTTTAAAGTAAGTTTTTTAAAAATTCGATTAGTTTATATTATTCTAAAGTTAATTATCATATATCATTTTTTTTTAAGGATCAACCAATATTTTATATGCTCTTTTTTTTATTATATTATATTAAGTAAAATTTTAATCTATATATATATTTAATATTACTCATTTATTTTAATAAATTTTTCGTTTGATTATATTTCTGGGTTTTTATCTGGATGATAACTTTATACTAATTTATAATAAGTTTTTTTTATATCACCAAGAGAACTTTATTAATTTAAACCTAATAATTCTAAATTTATATTAATTTTTCTTTAATTATTTATATAAATAATATATATATATGTATATAAATAATATATATATATATATATATATATATATAGATATATATATATAATTGCTTTACCATATAAGTTTTAACTAACACTAAAATTATATTTTATTTTAAAAAATGAATTTTTTTTCAATTTAAATAATGATTTTATAAACATGTTTAATTATTAAGTTATAATAATAAATATATAATAATACATAATAATATATAATAATATAAAATTATAATAATTATTAAGATATTTATATTTACGTATATTTTAAATGTTATTATTTTTTATAAATTAATTTATAATTTTTTAATCATTTTATTTTTAACTATTAAAACTTTCTAATATTTTTTTGTTTAAATGTTTATACATTTAATTTTTTAAATATAATTTTTTATATAAATAATTGTAAAAGAATATATTTTTTTTAAATAAAAATTATAATTATCTTATTTTTTGTGTTAATTCAATATATTTAATAATATAAGACATTAAACAAATTTAATATTTTATAATTTTATAAACAATTAATTATTAATATAATAAAATACTTTTTTTTAGAATATAAAAATTTATTAATTATATTTTATTTATCTTGAATAATAAAAAAATATATGTAAATTTTTTATAATAATTAAATATTATTTAATTTATATTTTTTTTTTATTAAAATACTCATTATTTTATTTTAGAATTAATAAATAATAACATATTTTTATTATAAACTTATTGAAAAGTATATTTTACTATAACAAAATAAAATATTTATATTATATTTTTTTTAAAATTTAAATAATTATAATTCTTTTTAAAATAATTTTTATATTATATTTATTTATTAATTAATATTACCTTAAATAATAAACTTTAATCAAAAAAAAAATATATAAAAATATTCTTATAACAAAAAAAAAAAAAAAACTTTATAATTATATTAAAAAGAACAAATAAAAAGAAAAAAAAAGAAAAAATACTAAATAAAAATAGGAAATAGAAAAAAATGTAAAAACTCGGTTTAAATTAATTAAAAGAACGTATATTAATACTAAGTCCAACAGTTCAAGGCCGTTTAGAAAGTGAATTAAAAACTGACGATTTTCAATTAATCGAAAAGCTCGGCCAAGGAGCATTCGGTAAAGTATATAAAGCAAAATCTAAAAAGACAAACCAATTAGTAGCTTTAAAATAAATGGATAAATAACAAATAAAAAATTAAGGAATGTATAAATAAATTCAAACAGAAGTTAAAGTAATGTATACTTTAGACCATCCTAATATAATAAAACTATATAACCATTTTGAGGAAGAAAAAAGTATTTTTTTAGTCCTTGAATATGCCGGAGGTGGATAATTATGGAAAATATTAAGAGAAGTAGGTCGTTTTGATGAAAATACAGTAAAAAAATACATGGCCGATATACTATTAGCCGTTGAGTATTTGCATTCATAAAATCCGGCAATAATACATAGAGATATAAAACCCGAGAATTTAATTTTAAGTGAAGGCAGATTAAAATTAATAGACTTCGGATGGTCTAATTTTAAAAATAATGAAAGAAATACCTACTGTGGTACATTAGATTATTTGGCCCCAGAAATGATTCTAGAAAAAGGACATGATGAGAAACTCGATATATGGAGTCTAGGGGTTTTATTATATGAATTAATTACCGGTAAAGCACCTTTTGGAGTATCTAATTTAGTTAATGATTAGAATGAAATGAGGAGATAATTAGAATAAAATATACTATAAGGAAAGATCAATTTTCCTAATGATTTTCCAGTTTTAGCAAAGGATTTAGTAAATAGTTTGTGTAAAAAAGATCCTTAATAGAGAAAAAATTTAGGAGAAATTAAAAAACATCCATGGTTTATTATACATTAGAACGGAAAAACGATTTTTGAAGTAGAACCTTGGTGTCTCTCTTATGTTAAAACTAATATTTAGTAAAATTAGGCAGTTTTGGCAATTAATTAATTAGTAAAACCATTTGAAATTTAAGAAGGATTTTCGAAATAATTTATTGTTGATTTTGCTAATAGAATGCATCCGGATGTCGTTTAGAGTTTTTTATAAAGAATTTCTTAATAATAATTATGCTTAAGTGAAAATAATAATAATAATAATTATGAGGATTAAATTGAATATTTGAAAAATAAAATTGATTAATTAAACTTATATGTATAATAAATGAATAAGGAAAAAAATGAACTTTAAGTTGATTTTTAAGTCAAAGTCGAAGAATTAAAAAAAATAAAAGAAGAATTAGATAATATGAAAAATTAAGGATAAAATTTAGGTTTTTTTTAAAGATAAATTCTTATTTTAAAAGAAGAAAAGGAAAAACTTAAAAACGAAAATAATTCTCTTTATGAAAAATAAAGTGAATATGAGGGACAATTAAAATAATTTACTTATTAATTAAAATAATTCCAAGAACAAAAAAAGATTAGGAAAAATATAAATAAGAAAAAATTATTTTTTTGAAAAATTAAAAAACTTCAAGAAGATTTAGACTTGGCAAAAGGCGATTTAATTGAAATTAGTTAATAAAGAGAATAAGATATAATCATGTATTAATATAAAATATAAGTATTGGAAAAAAAAGGAGGTGTAGGAGGTATTTCATCGAATAATTGGGAAGAATTATTAAGAGAATTAAACAATTTGATAGAATAAATGAATAAGAAATTTGCAATAACTAAGAAGTAAATAGAAGTAATTGAGAAATATTCCCAAATGGAAAGTCAATTAATTAAATTAAAACTCGAAAGAAATAATTTAGAAGAAGATTTGAAACTATAAATATAAGAAAATTATGAAGAAGAAATGGATAAAATAAAAATTTAGTATAAAGACTAGATTGAAACCTTAAAGGAAGAATATGAGAAATAAATATAAGAATTACATATATAGGTTTAAAATCTAAAATACTTAGAAAATTAAATATTGGTAAATAATATTGAAAATAAGGGATTAAGGAACCAAAATTAAATATTGTAAAATAGTTTAAAAGAAATTAAATCTGATTATGAATAAAATAAAAAACTTAAAGTATTAATGGAAAATAAAATTAAAGAATTAGATAATGAAGTTGCTGATTTATAATAATGTATTAAAAAATATTAATTTTAAGCTAAAAAATGAATATTTTTTTTTTTTTTTCAGTTTTTATTTATGTTTTTTATAAGAATTAAATATATAAAACATGTTAATATATTCTTGTCTATATAATTCTATATTTTTTCTTTTTCTTAAAATAATTATTAATATAATTTTCATAATACATTTTTTATATAAATATAAATAATTTGTTTTTCTTATATATATACTATAAAATATTTATTTTAATAATTATATGGTTAGAAACATTCAAAATAAGCTAAATTTTTATTCTTTTAGAAAATATGTATGTTTATATCATAAAAATACTTTTAACTAATTTTACCTTTATGAAAGAAAAAAAAAAGTACATTATTATATTTATTTTAATAAATCTTTAGTATTAAAATTATTAATAAATATCAGTTTTATTTAAATTTTTCTTATATATTTTTTATAGTTTAACTCTTTATTTTCTATCTTTTTCCTTTTAAATTTATAGCATTTTTGAATAAATAATACTATAATGATCTAAAAAGATTATATTTTCTTTAAATTATTCAACATATTGTTGTTTTATCTTAATATTATAACCATTATTTAAAATTATTAATTATATAAAATTTATGAAATTTCATAAAATTTTATCGATTTTTAAACAATATGTTCACATTCTTATTAATTTTAAGTATTATGTGCACAAAGTTGTAAAAATATAATTATTTTCTTAACCATAAAAAAATTAAAAAGCATATATTTATCATATTTGAATTAAAAACTTGTTAAATATATTAAAAAATAAAATATAAATGCATTTATATTTGCATATAGTCATTCAATATAGATTGTACTTAATCTTTTAAAAATAATAAACTAAATACCGAATAAAAACATATAATAATTTTTTTTCTTTTAATTTATCTTATATTAAGATTGAAATAAAATATAAATAATAAAAAAACATGTATAAAACTATAAAAATAAATTATATATAAGATATATAAGATATATGCAATTTTATTAGGGCATATAAATTTCCTGTCTTTTGCAATAAGTTATAAAATAATTTGATAAATTCTATATATTATATTTGATATTAAAAGAAAGTATAAACTTTTAAAAATATAAAAAGCGAAATAATAAACAGTATGAAACATTTAATTTTGTAAATAAAAATTTTATATATTGAAAATGTATGAATTTTTAGAAACTTTTAAATTAAAATATTATTTATTGAAAAATAAAATAATATAATATTTCGAATAAGAATAAAAGTATGCTAACTGGAACTTAAAAAATAAATAGTTAAAGATATATGAATATATGTATTTTCTAAAATTATTTAATAATATAAAATTAAATTAATATTATGAAAACAATATATATGATATAATATTAATAATAATAAAAAAATAATTAGTTCTTTGTATATAAAAAATAAAAGTAATAAAAAGAAATAATATATTTATAATTGTATAAAAATCATTTTTTTTCAAAAACTACGGCCATTATTGTTCCAATAGTAATACCAAATGTCAAAAAGAAAACATTAACGTAATTTATAAAATCTCTATCTTTAGAATTTGTAGTCTTTTAAGTTGCCACAATTATTAAAATAATAGTTACCATTCCTTTCGTTAAAGCAAAAATAAATAAAAGGAAACTTTAAAAGAAATCATTTTACATATCTTCCGAGATTTTTTAATTAGCAATCGATAAAAAAAAATATAGAATGAAAATCTTGAAACAACTATTGCATATGCAAATAATCGTTTTTATAAAAATTTAATTCCTCCTAATAATTTTCCAATTGTATCGCCTATATTAAAAATCAAAAACATTAAAATAGGTGCATAAGGTAATTAAAAATGACTATATTTAGGGTATTAGAAAACTGAGACACCAGGAAAAAGCATAAAAGTCTAAACCTAATTGATAAATATAAAAAAAGGATTAAGTCCTACCAATTATAAGCAACTAAAAAGTTTATAGAATATAGATTTATTATAATTATTAACAATATCCAATTATTAAGACGTTTAAATTTGTTTAATACTCAATATTTATTAAATAGTCTACATATTTAAAGGTGGTTATACTTAATTATCATTATTAATAGCTAGTTAGTTATCTTAAACATTATCAATTTCATTTTATGAACTATGAATTGTTTATTTTTATAGTTTATTTTAAAATTATTAAAGTTAGTCTCTTTTCATAACGGCTTTATAATAGTCGCCATTTACGAAAATAGTTATACATATACTTCCTACTAAATAAAAACCTGCTGCTACTCCAAAATATAAAGCAACTCCATTATCTTATTCTTTTATTCCATAAGTTCATAAGGCGAGTAATCTAAAAAGATTCATAATAATACCTGACAAAGCTGTAAAAGTCCAATAAATGTTTACTAATAATCTACTTTGGGTAGCTCCAGAAATAGCTACGGAAGAATTATTAGCAATACTATCCATAGTTCCTTAGAATATTAAAATAATGAATACTAGGATAATGCCAGCCTATGTTTATTAAAGGTACACACTTACCAAACATAAAGAAATTAGAGATAATATTGCTCCTCTTAAAGAAAAAGGAATAGATTTTTCAAATGGAATATTATGTCCTATTATTGTCAAAGTAACTCCGACTAAAAAATTAGAACACATAATCGGAATTGGGAAGTAAAAAGCAACATCTACGAAATTATTTTTTGGAAATTTATCTTAGAAAAAATGTAAAGCATTTAAAATGGCATTCAAACCAGTCAAAGCACTTATACCTAATAAAGCAAATGTGAATTTGTGGAAAAAAGTTATTGAAGGTATTTTTACATAGTTTTTTTCAGCTTCTGATGCTTTTGGTGACTTTTTCTAAGAAGATTAGATTTCTTATATTACTAATTCGGCAATTTATTTATTTATTTTTAATTCTTATTAGTTTGTTTCTTTTACAAATTCGGCCATTTATTTATTTTATTATTATATTGTATTTAATGTATTTTATTTTTATTCCATTTGATTTGATTATATATTTTTTTTATTTTGATTTTTTTTGATTTTATATATTGAATAATATAATATTTTTTTTTAATTTAAGCTTTTGTTTTATTAACTGAGGTTATTTTTATTTTAGTAATTTTTTTTGTTTTTACATATTAAAAATAAATGATAAAATATACTAAATTTAAAATATTGTAATTTACTATGATAAAAAACTAAGTAAATTAAATTTTAAATGAATAATATAGGATTCTATAAAATTTATAATAATTTTTTTATTGAAAATAAGAAATATATTAAAATTAAAGGAATAATATAATAAATGTATATAAATATATTTTAAAATTAAAAACAATTTATTTTATTTTTATTTATGAAAAATATATTTAAAATTTATTTATAATTTTAATTTTTATTTTAAGTGTTTAAATATTTTTTGTTTTATTTCTGTAAATTTTAATTATTAAGATAAAATAAATATAAAATCATATATTTTAAATAAAAAAAATATATAAAATAATATTCAATTAATAGTATAATTTATCTTTTAATTTTTAATAAATAAATTGTAGAATGTGTATTAAATTAATTTTAGCCTTTTTTAATTAATTATAATAATATTTTTTGCTATGAAGTTAATATTTCATAATTCGAATTTTCTATTAAATTTTTATGTTCTAATATATTAGAAAATTTTAAAAAATAACTTATTTTGAATTAAAAGTTATTTAAATTAAAATATAAAATGATTTAAATAATAATTATAAAATAATGTTTAATTAATTCATTTATTATATAAACAACAAAATGGCATAATATATAAAAATAGAATTATTTTATTTATATATTCAAAAAATTAATATAAGATTAAAAACTACTTATCAAATAAATAATAGTATATTATTTTTAAATAAAAAAAAAAAAAATTTAAAATATAGATATAAAAATATTATATATATACATATAATATACAGTTATAACATAATTTTTAAAAAATAATAAATAATATAATAAGTATATTCATTTATTAATTTTATATTTTTTGATTCTTTTAATAATATTTAATATAAATTAAAATGTTTTTATGAAATAAAACATATAAGAAGGAAAATTATTTATTAAATAATTAATTTTATATATTTATATTAATTCATTTTTAATTAATTATAACCTAAAATTATATTTTTATTTAATATCTTCATAAGATATAAAAAGACTTAACTTTTAAAAAATTTGAGTATTTTAAATACTAAAAACTTTAAATTTATACAATAAATATTTTTTCAAAAACTATCTGATCTTTTTTATTATATTTAACTTAATTTTACTAAAAAGAATATTATTTTTTTTATTTAATAAGTTATTTAAATATTAACAATTTTTTTTTTATTTTATTTTGAATGTTTATAAAAATAAAATAAATATTTTAAAAATTTAGTAAATATTTTATTTTATATTTAATTAGAGTAATTATACAATTTTATTCGGCTCCATAAATTTAATGTCTGTTCCAATATCTAATAAAATTTTTAATAATTTATATAAATATAAAAAATTAAAGAAATAATTATTAAAAATTTTACAATATAAATCAAATTATTTATTATTAAGAACTTTGTAATATAAAAAATTAATTATTGATTTATAAAAAAAAAAAAATACATTATAACATTTAAAGTTGAAAAAAATTTGGAATATTGACAAATGTTTAAACAAAACCTTTAGAAAAAATGATATTATTTTATCAAATTCTAATTAGAAAAGGTTCTTTTAACTTAAATAAGTTGAATAATATTACACTAAACCATTTAATATTATTTGTTTTATCTAAAGCCAATATATATATTCACATATTTAAATACAGTAGATATTTATATATATTTAATAATTATATTATTACTTTTGTATTATGTTTTTTATTTTAAAAAGTAATTATATATTATTAAAAATATTTATTAATTATTATAATTATGAAATATAATTTTTTTTTTTTATTTTAAATAATTTTTTACAAGAATATTTTTAAAACGCCTTTTCATTATAATTGCCCATATTATGATTTATTTATAATCAAGCTTAAAAATAACTAGTTTAATATTTAAGTATTATCTTTTTCTAATTATATTTAAAAAGACTTTAAATTTATATAATGTTTTAAAAATAAACTCAACAAAATAATAACATTTTTTAAAATGATATAATAAATATTAATAACTACTTTATATATATAAAAAATATAATAAAAAGGTTATAAAAAAATAATTTAAATATAAAAAAAAATACAGTTTATTTTTAAAATCAAAGCCATTAAAGATCCAACAGAAACACCTAAAGTTAAAAATAAAATATTCATGTGACTAATTAAATCTCTATCTTTAGAATTAGTAGCCCTTTAAGGTCCCACAGTCATTAAAATAGAAGATACCAATCCTTTTGTAAGAGCAAACATAAATATTAGGAAATATTAGAAAAAATCATTTTACATATCTTAAGATCCTTGCAAATTAGCAATCTAAATAAATAAAATAAAAAATACAAATCTACAAATAACAATTCCAAATGCAAACTATGCTTTTTATAAAAATTTAAATCCTCCACCTAATGATTTTCCAAATATATCGCCTATATTAAAAATCGTAACCATTAAAATAGGTGCTACAGGAAATTTAACATAAGTATATTTAGGTTTTTAGAAAACTGAGACACCGGGGTAAAGCATACTAGTCTAAACGCAACTAACAAATATAATAAAAGGCGCAGGCCCTATTTTTTTCAAAAAATTAGAAAATTTATTCAATAAAGGTATATTTTATTAGCTATCAAAAACCAATTATTAAGCAGTTTACATTTATTAAACACTTTACATTTATTATGAATTCTATATATTTGAAGATTTATATACTTAAATTTTATTATCAACAGCTGCTATCTACTTGCTTTAAATTTTTTCAACTTCATTTTCTATAGATGGAATTATTTATTATCGATATTGTTCTAATTTTTTATTCTCAGCTCATCTCTTTCAACAACAGCTTTGTAATAATCACAATTTTTGAATTTATTTATAAATATACTTCCTGTTATATAAGAACCGGCTGCTACTCCAAAATATAAACCAGTCCCTTTATCTAAATCTTCTATTCCGAAAGTTCCTAAAGCAGTTAATCTCAAAAGATTCATAATTAGACCAGACAAAGATGTAAAAGTCAAATAAATGCCTATTAACACACTATTTTAAGTAGCCATAGCAAGCGTTAGGCAACAATTATTACTTATACTAACTACAGTTCCTTAGAATGATTAAATAATGAATACTAGTACGATACCAATGTATGTTTCTTTAAGAAAAACACTTACCAAACATAAAGAAGCTACTGATAAGCTAGATACTCTTAAAATAATAGAAATATAATTTTAAAAAGGGATTGCATTTCCTATTACAGATAAAATTGCTCCGACTATAAGACTTGAGCACATAATAGGAATTGGAATAAAAAAAGAAACATTCAAAAATTATTATTTGGGAAATTTTTCTTGGAAAAAATCTAATGCATTTAAAATAGCGTTCCAACCTGTTAAAGAACATATGCCCAGAATAGCTAATGATAATTTGTGAAAAAGGGTTACTGAAGGCATTTTTTCATAGTCTTCTGTTGTTTATTAGCTTTATTGTGTATTAGTTTGGATAATTTATATTTTTTCTGTTACTAATTCGGTCATTTTTTTATTTTATTGTTATGAGTTTTTTTTTTTTTTTTATGGCTTTTGTTTTTAAGTTTATTCTTATATTTTTATTTAAAAATTATATTTATATTATTTTTTACTTTATTATATTTTTTTATTTTTTTATTTTTTTTATTTTTTTTATTTTTAATGAATATTTATTTTATGTTTATATTTATTTACAGGATTTTTATTAAATTTGTGGTTCAAATATATTAATTTTATATAACCTATTTTAATATATTAAATTAAGCTCTTTTATATTTGAATATTTATTTCTTATTTTAATTTTAGTTTATAAAATTATAAGATATAAAAAAAATGTAAGTTTGTATATCAAAAATCCAAAAAAAAAAAATTATTTATTTTTGATATGATTAAAAATATATAAAATTATAGTATAAATATAATAATTGTATTGTATTGTTAAGTTAATTTTATATTTTATTTTTTATATTTGTTAACTAATATAATAATTTACTAAGTAATAGATTTAAAATTAAATTAATAAAATAGGAAAAACCATAAAACTTTAATATTTTAACAAATAAAATAATAAAATTTATAAGAAAATATTATTGTTAAAAAAAATAAAATATTAGATATTATTATTATATATATTATTTAATTAATTATTATTAAATATACTAAAAAATATTGTATTTAATAATTTTAATATTTAAATTTTTTTATAATATACTACTTTTTATTCTATTTATTTTATTTCAAATTTTAAAATTCATACATGATTTTATAATGTGACGATATTAAATTTATATTTATTGAAGACTATATATATGAAATATTATTATAAATAAAAATTTCGTTGTAATTGTTTATTAATTATAATGTTCATTTTTTTTTAAATAAAAAAAGAAATTCTTATATATTATAAATATTATATATATATATTTTATAAATATATATAAAATATATATAATTTACACTTTACTTTATTAATTTAGCAAATATATTTTTTTTTTTAATTTTATATTTTTTTTTTGATTTATTAGCTCTATATATATAAAATATTAGTATTTAATTTATATATATAATTAAAGTATAAATTATTTTTGTTAACATGTAATTTTTTGTATCTCAGCAAATAAATTAATATTTAATATTAAAATAAATCTTTTATTATAATAAAAAATTAATAATAAAATGGATAAAAAAAATACCTTTAAAGAACGTAAAAAAAAATAATATAAAATAAAAAAAAAAAAATATACAAATATAGTATAAGAAATACCAGATTTCCCTAAAAACGAGGAATAAATTCTTTTATTTTGGGAATAAATAGACGCATTTAAATTATAACTTGAGAAAACTAAAAATTATCCACCCTTTACTTTTTACGACGGACCACCATTTGCAACTGGTTTACCTCATTACGGAAACTTATTAGCAGGAACAATAAAAGTAATTATATATATAAGTAAAATATATAAATATATAAATATATAAATATATAAATATATAAATATATATATATATTTATATATATATATATATATATATATAAATAGGATGTTGTTTGTAGATATGCATCTTAAAATGGAAAATATGTAGAAAGAAGATTCGGTTGGGATTGTCATGGTCTTCCTATTGAATATGAAATCGATAAGAAATTGTAGATTCAAACTAGATAAGATGTCTTTAAAGTATTATTAAATATAAAATATTTAATATATATCTATATAAATATAAGATGGGTATTGATAAATATAATGCTGAATGTCGTAGTATTGTGATGAGATATTCTAAAGAATGGAGAAGTATAGTCAATAGATTCGGCCGGTAAAAAAAAAAATATATAAAAAAAATATATATAAAAAAGATGGGTTGATTTCGATAATGATTATAAGACTTTAGACTTAAATTTTATGGAATCTGTATGGTATGTATTTAAGTAAATGTTTGAAAAAGGCTTAATTTATAGAGGTTGTAAGGTTATGCCTTATTCAAATGGATGCAATACAGTCTTATCAAATTTCGAAACATAACAGAACTACAAAGAAGTGGATGATCCAGCCTTATTTGTTGCTTTTAATACTAAAAATGATCCCAAAACACGTTTATTAGCTTGGACTACTACTCCTTGGACTTTACCTTCTAATTTAATGTTAGCGGTCAATAAAGACTTTGATTATTTGAAAGTTTTAGATAAAAAAACTTAAGATCATTATATTATTGCGGAATGCAGAATCGGTACTTTTTATAAAGATAAGAGCAATTATACAATAATTGAGAAGTTAAAAGGAGAAAAATTATCAGGAATCGAATATGATCCGTTATTTCCTTATTTCGAATAAAGAAGATAAAATGGCTGTTTTAGAGTTATTTGTGCAGATTTTGTGACCTCAGATACTGGTACTGGTATAGTACATGTAGCTCCTGGTTTTGGTGAAGACGATTATAAGATTTGTGTTAAAAATTCTGTTATTAAACCTGATGATCCACCTGTTCCTGTAGATGATAATGGCTATTTTACAGAAGAAGTAGCTGATTTTAAAGGTGTTTATGTAAAAGATGCTGACAAATTAATAAGAAAAAATCTAAAGGAAAGAGGATATTTATTAATTGATGCTTCAGTTAAACATAATTATCCTTATTGTTGGAGATCAGAGACTCCTTTAATTTATAAGGCTGTACATTGCTGGTTTATTAAAGTCACCGCAATAAAAGAAGATCTGGTTTAGAATAATAAAAAAGCATACTGGGTACCTAAATTCGCTCAAGAAGGTAGATTTAATAACTGGCTTTAAAATGCATCAGATTGGTGCTTTTCTAGATCCAGATTTTGGGGAAATCCGATACCTATATGGGTTTCTTCAGATTTCGAGGAAGTAGTGTGTATAGGTTCAATTGAAGAATTAAAGAAATTAACTGGAGCGACTGAAATTAAAGACTTACATAGAGATTTTATAGACCATTTAACTATTCCTTCGAGCTAAGGTAAAGGCGTTTTGAGAAGAGTTGATGAGGTTTTTGATTGCTGGTTTGAATCAGGAGCTATGCCTTATGGATAGGTACATTATCCGTTTTCTATTTCTGAGGAGGACTTTAATAAAAGATTCCCAGCTGATTTTATCGGGGAAGGTATAGATTAGACTAGAGGATGGTTTTATACTTTAAATGTTATCTCAACGGCTATGAGAAATCAAAATCCGTATAAAAATTTAATTGTAAATGGTATCGTTTTAGCTGACAATGGTAAAAAAATGTCCAAGTCTAAAAAGAATTACCCAGATCCAGTTGAGGTGGCTTAGAGACATTCAGCTGATGCTATTAGACTTTATATGGTTTTTTTAATATAAATATATGCAAATAATATATATTTTTTTAGATTAATTCACCTTTAGTAAGAGCTGAAGAATTATCTTTTAAAGAAGAAGGTGTTTTTGCAGTTAAAAAAGATGTGTTCTTGCCTTGGTATAATGCATATAAGTTCCTTATTTAGAATATTACTAGATGGGAAAATTAAAGTGGTAAAAAATTCTAATTTGATGAGAAACTTTCAATTGATAAAAATATTTTAAAAAACCCTACAGATAAATGGATTATTGTAAAAAATATAAATATATATATATATATTATATATATATATATATATATATATATATGTGTATTCATATATATAAATATAGGCTTCTTGCTAAAATTTAATTAATTATGTAAGAATTGAAATGGAGAAATATCATTTATATAATGTAGTACCTCGTTTAGTTACTTTTTTGGAAAATTTAACTAATTGGTACATTAGATTAAATAGATAAAGAATAAAAGACGAAGAAGGTTAGGATGATTAATTAACAGCCATAAATGTATTATTTAATGTAATTTTAAACTCGACAATTTTAATGTCTCCTTTAGTACCTTTTATCACTGAAAGTTTCTATTAAAATTTAGTTTTGGCAATTCCTTAAGATTCACACTATTATGAAAAATCTGTTCATTTATTGAGAATTCCAGAACCGAAATAAGACCTTTTGGATGAAAAAGTAGAAATTGACTTCGAAAGAATGCAGACTATAATTAATTCGTCTCGTTAAATAAGAGAAAAGAGAAAAGTCTCATTAAAATAACCTATTAAATCTTTAACTATTATCAATAGTGATAAGGAGTTTCATGACAGTTTGAAAGATCATATTTAATATATTGAAGAAGAAATAAATACACCTTCCGTAAATGCAGAATTAAACGTAGATAAATATGTAGAATATAAATCAACACCAAATCATAAAATTTTAGGGTAAAAACTTTAGAAAAACTATAATAAAGATGTCAAATAAGCAGTGAATGTTTTAAATTAAGAATAAATCGCTTAATTATAAAAGAAGGTTTTGTTTAAATTTTGGGACATAAATTATAATTAGAAGATTTCTTAATTGAAAAATAATACAAGAAAAATGTTCTTGCAGAAAATCTAGAATTAGGAGGAGAAAACGAATATATTTTATTATTGGATTTATCTTAAGATGAAAAGCTTAAATAAAAGGGAATTGTAAGAGAATTTACTAGTAGAGTTTAGAAGACTAAAAAAGAATGCGGATTATAGGCTGATGACGATATTATTATTTTTATAGATTTTACTAAAGCACCTAAATTATAAGCTGTTATTAATGATGATTTATAAAATATAATTAAAACTTTGAAAAAACCAGTCTAAAATATGTCTGAAAAAGCACCAGGATTATAATAAGTAGATAAATCTCTTAAAAATTTTGAGATTGATGGCGAAACTTTCAAAATCGAACTATACTATAATAAAAAGGTTAAAATATATTTATTATATATAAATTATTGTATATTAATATTTTTTATTTATTTATAGAATTGAAGAAATGATTGGTAAAAAAAAAATACATATTAATTATTATTTAGTCTTTTTAATATAATAAATAAAATATTTTTATTTAAAAAAGTTTTTATATATAAAAATGGATTCATTTATTTAAATTTAATATTTGAAAATATAAATATATACATATATATATATATATATATATATATATATAACATGTTTTATTTCTATATAAGAAATCAATCTTTAAAAAAACTTGCAAAACTAATAATGGTCTTTTTTTATATTGAATATTTAAAAAAATATCTTAAAAAATAATATAACATCAGAACAAGCAATATGTTTAATGTTTATATGTTTACTTGTTATGATGTTTTTTATGTAATTTATTTAATAGAATTTAATCAATAAAAAAAAAATCAAAAAGAATGGATAAAAGCTAATGACTATTTTAAAAACTAATTAAATATTAAAATAAAAATAGAACAGTTAATATATATAGAGCTTTTATAAGTATTTTTAATCTAATTTTTAAGGTTATTTCCATTGCCCATTTTCGCGATTATATTTTTTTTACAGAATAATATTATGAATATAACGAAAATAACTAAATAAACTTTTGGGTTTTATGATCACACAAAAATTTAAAATGTTAAATTTTCATAAATATTTAAATTCTTTATATTGGGTAATTGTTACTATGTATACCCTAAGATATGGATATATAGCTTATTATACTCCTAATAAAAAAATAACTGTAGCATGTATAACTCTTTTTTAATTAAGGAATTCTCGCCTATTTATTAAATGCTATAGGTCCTATAGTCTCTGAGTTGACCAAAGACTTGAAATATTCTAAACTTAAAATGAATACTCTTATTTACACTTATTTCTTATAAGAATAAGTAGTAGTTATTAATTGTAAGTCAGGAAATATTTTTCAAATTTAAATTTAAAAAATATTAAATAAAATGAAGCAAGTACCATTAATCTTAATTAACTTTTATGAATTTTTAAAAAAGTACAACTCATTCAGTATAACTTTTTAAATATAATTTTTTAGATTTTTTTAAGAAAATTATCCTATATAATATATAATATAAGAATAGAGGTTTTTATTTGATAAAAAATACTCTATAAAGGACAACAAATTTAACAATGTAAATTTTTTGATAAGAAGGTATTATATATTAAATATTTATGTTCATTTTTTAAATAAAAAGTAATGTTTAAAATAAATTAGATAATGTATAAATCATTTTATAAATAAGACTAGATTTAGATTTCTGATGATATATAATTTATTAGTGAAGGAAATATTTATTTAAATTATAAAAGTGTCAGAATACCAATTATTATATTAATTATTAATTATGAAAGAGGATTTTTTAAAATCTGATAAAAGATTTTCATTTAAGATTTTTAAAAAAAAAATATGTTGAGTCTAGTGCATAAATTTTTAATTTTTCAGTCTTACAAAACATATTTTTTCAAATTGTTTATAGGTTAACTCATTTTTTAATATACAAGGATTTTAAAATATTATAGTAAAAAAGAAGACTAAATTTGAGGCGATAAATTTAAAAGGAAAATTAAAATATATTGAGATGTAAATAGAAAATATATATATATCATTAATGAAATTAATAATACTGCTTTATAGTATATTATTAATTAGAATTGTATAGACGAAGATTTTAACGATTCTAACGACTTTTTAAAATTAAATTATTTGTGCTAATACTTAAGAATTTTATTAAATTTATTTTCGGAAAAATACATTTAAAAAATATATTTTAATCATATAATAAAAACATTAATTATATTTTTTATAAAAAAAATTAAAATAAAGAAAATTAATTTAAAAAATATATACATACATAATATTTTAAAGTAGAAAATATCTTAAGTAATTTATTATACTGTAATATAGAAATTTAATAACTTGTTGAGAAAAGATAAAAATTAAGTAGTTAACACATTTCCTTAGGAAATTCTTCTTATATATAAAATCAAAATTAATAATAATATTAAAATATAATATTAAAATAGTCAATATTATTAATTTTTTCTTAAAATTTATTTTTAATAGGGAAATTATAATAATATAAATAGATATATTGGAATAATATCTTTTTATAGAATTTATATAATAAAACTAAGTAAATTTTGTAAGATAAATTAAAAAAATAAAATATGCATTAATATCTAAAATAATGAGCATTTTATAACTTAAAAAAATTATAGAAAAATATTATTTATATAATCTTATATTTAAATATATATATTATATAAAGCTTTTATTTAATAAGATTTTTAATTATATAATTTATATATTTGCTTGGTTTATTTATATTAACAGAATTTAAATTAATTTATTAAAAAAAAAATTAATAATATTTATTTTATTTAATATCTTATCCTATATTAAATATTTAAACAAAATATTTATATTTTAATTAAATTTATTTAATTTTAGAATTAAATCAATTTTATCTATTTATCTATGATTTTATATTAGTTTTTTAGCAGCTATGTATTTAGTATTAAAATAATTATTCAATATGATAATTAATATCCTATAAAATAAAAAAATATGAATTTAATTTATATATAGAAATAATTAACAAAATAAAAAACTTTAATCATATTATTATTTTAAATCAAATTATTTACATTAATATTAATTTTTTTTTAGACATTTTGTATAAAATTTTCTGAAAAATATAATATAAAATAAAAAGATTATAAATCATAAAAAAAAATCAACTTAAAAAAAAATAAAAATAAGTATACAAATTAAATATTTATTGATTGGATATTTAAAAAATAAATTATTATCAAAATATATAGAATAATTTTTTAATATTTATAAATTAAATTTTAAATTTTCATCCATATTTGAAATATTTTTTTTGACATTTGAAATGAAAATTTATAATCTAAAAATAAAAGAGATTAAATTAATAATATTAAAAAGCTTAAATTAAAAATTATAAAAAACTTAAAATTAATATAAAAAATCAAATATATAAACCATAGATTAAAATATTAATTATAATTAAAAAAAAAAATATAAAATAAATTAAAATAAAATAAAATAAAATAAATTAAAAAAATGACAGAATTAGTTAATATATAAACGTCTCAAAATCATTTACCAAAATAACCATAAGAAGAAGAGGACTATGAAAAATTGCCTCCAATAACTTTATTTCATAAAATAACATTCGCTCTTTTAGGCATATGTTCTTTAACCGGTTGGAATTCTATTTTAAATGCTTTTGATTTTTTCTAAGATAAATTTCCAAAACATGATTACGTAGATGTCGCTTTTTATTTCCCAATTCCGATTATGTGTTCTAATTTTTTAGTCGGAATAACTTTAACATTAATAGGAAATAATATTCCTTTTGAAAAGCGTATTCCTTTTGCTTTAAGAGGGGCTGTACTTACCATAATTTTTATTTGCTTGATAGGTATTTACCTTAAATAAACATAAGCGGGTATTGCTTTAGTATTCATTGTTTTAATATTTTAAGGAATTTTTGATAGTCTAATGATTAATTCGGCAGTAGCGCTTTCTGGAGCTACCTAAAGTGGTGTATTAATAAGCATTTTCTGGAATTTTACAGCTTTGTCAGGTATTATTATGAATGTTTTGAGATTTATCGCTTTTGGAGCTTTCGGGCTATAAGATTTAGATAATGGAACTTGTTTATATTTTGCAGTCGCAACCTTGTTTTATTTAGTAGGAAGTATATGTATAACATTATTTACAAATGGTGACTATTATAAAGCCGTTTTGAAAAGAGATTAGATGAAAAATAAAAAATAAGAAGAATAATAAAATTAAGCAATATAAAATATAGAAAAAGAGGTTTTAAAGATCTAAGATAATCAAGCAGTTGCAGCTAATAATAATTAAGCATAGGCAGCTTAATAATATTAAACCGCTTAAAAAATATTAACTACTAATTAATTATAATCTGCTTAATAATTGGATATTGAAAATAATCTAAAAAAGTCTTTTTTAAATAAAATTATAAATTTCTTATAAATAGTAGGACCTGCACCCTTTTTTATATTTACTAATTATGTTTAGACTTTTATGCTTTTTCCCGGTGTCTCAGTTTTCTAAAAACCTTCATATACATTAATTTAGAATCCTTTTGTACTTGTTTTTATGTGTACAATTTATAATTTAGGAGATTTGACAGGTAAAACATTAGGCTCTTTTAAAATTATATAGAAAGCATTGCTTGCATATTGCGTTGTTATTTCTAGATTTTCATTTTTTATTTTTTTTATATTAGTCGCTAGAAATCAGGGATCCTAAGCTATGTAAAACGATCTTTTCTAATTTTTCTTTTTATATATTTTTGCTTCTATGGATGGATTGATAACTTCTATTTTAATGACAGTCGCGCCTTAAAGAGCAACTAATTCAAAAGATAGAAATTTTATTAGTTACGTAAATATGTTTTCTTTGACTTTTGGTATTTCAGTTGGATCATTTATGGCTTTAATTTTAGTTGATGAATGATTTTTTTATATATAGGGAATTTTTTTATTTTCATTTAAAATATAATTGCTATGATTTATTTACTTTTTTATACATAATTAAAAAATAATTTTTTATTATAGTGATTGAAAATTATTATTTTAATTTTCTTAATTATATGTATATTTAGTTTTAAAATATTAATTTAAATAAGAGTTTCTCTATATTATATTAAAAAAAGTTATTTACTTAAGTCTTTAATTTTTTTTTAAATAATATAAATTAATAATAGATGTAATTATAATTGTATGAATTATTATAATAATTCTTAATAAAAGTTTTTTAAATTAAAAAAAAAATGATATATTATTATTTTAATAATTAGCAACATAATTATTAAATTAATTTTATGTATTATAAATATAGAAGTTTTCTTAAATTTTTTAAATATATATATATATATATATATATATATATATATATATATATATATATATATAAATAAATAATTAATTTGAATTATCTACTATTTAAAAACATAATAATTTTTTTGTTTTTAATTTAAATATATGATATTAAAAAATTCACTATAATATTATTCTACTATTTTAACTTTTACGTAAATTTAGTAATTAAAAATTATTTAGCTTTAATAATAATTGAAAAAAAAAACTATTTAAATGTTGTAAAAAAATACTAATTTTTTTTACATGTTTTCAAGTTAGCCAATATTCTAAATTTTTTCAAATTTAAATATTATATATAATCTTTTTATTTTTTGTATATATATTTTTTTTTAAATTTAAAGATTTTTAATTATTAATGTATTTTTTATATATTAAATTTATATCAAATAAATTTAAATCTTAATATTTAATTTAATATTATTTTTAACTTCATATATTAATAAATATTTTATAATTTAGATTAAAAGACAAAAAAATTCTGCGGATTCATATAATTGAATATTTTATCTCTCTCTAAAAGAATAAAATTACATATTTTGCTGGCTTAATAAAAAAAAAAAAAATTATATAAATCAAATATTTTTTATCAAATTTTAAATAACTTACTGAATTAAAAAAATATACATATTTATTCTATTGAAAATTATTATATGTAATGATTAAATAAATTGAATTTTTATAATTTTTTATTCGATATCGATTTCTAATTTGGAAATAAAATATAATCCGTTTCGAGAATATTTGATTATAGTTAATAATTATAAATTTTAAATTATAATTAATAAATTTATTGATATCTTAAAGAAAAGCATAAATTTTATCCCATATAATTTAATAAAAAAAATTTAATTAATAAATATAAATACATATTATAAAAAATTAAAAAAATTCATTATTATATGCTGTGAAAATCAATATAATATATTTAATACACTTCTTTATTCAATTAACATTTAATTCTATTAAAATTAAAATATAAAAAATGTATTTTTTAATTTTAAATTATATTAATATTGTCAATTAAAATACTATTTAAAAATATAAAAATTATTATTTTCTTAAAAATACTCAAATCATGAGAAATATTTGAACAAATATTTTATTAAAATATAAAAGATTTAAAGAATAATAAGCATTTTATATAATATTTTGTAAAAAAAATAATAAAAAAAGGAATATATATGCAGATATTTCTACATATAAAAAAAAATCCTTTCTAAAATGGATTAAATAAAAAATTATTAAAAAGAAAAGGAAAAAATATACAAAGAATAATAAAATAATTAAATAAGTAAATTCTATATTATGAAAAAATGATGTAAAATGGTGATAATTGAAAATTCTTTCATAAAAATGAAATATTCAAATAATAAGTTAAAAAAGAAAATAACAAAAAATTAATAAGAAAAAAAAATCATTTAATAGAAAATAATAATATATAAATCAAATGAATTAATTAAATAAAAACATTGATTCATTTTTAAAAAAAATTAAAAATATTATAGATAGGTTCGATAATTATTGTTAATCAGAATTAGGCCTAAATATTTCTACCTATAATTATAATAAACGTTCAATTAGAAATAATGATATTAATTTAGTGTATAAAAAATTTATTTTAAAATTAATTTAATAACCTTAAAATTATGAATAAAATTACTAAAAAAATTAATTAACTAATAATCTAATTTATTTATAGAATAAAAATAATTAAATAAATCTTTAAAATTATTATAAATCATAAATAATTCATAATAAATTAAAAAATTAAAATTTAATGATCAATAATTTAAAATTATTAGTAAAATATAATAATTTATATAAAATTAAATAAACAAATATTGAATATTTTATATAAATATTAATATAAATATATATATATAATTTTATTTATATTTTTAAATTAAATCTTATTGTTTATTAAAAAAACTATATTATTAAATTATATTAAAATATTTATATAAATACAATAAAACCTCTAAGAAAAAAAAAATTGTAAAGACATATTTAAATAAGCCCAAAAAACAATCATAAAACAAAATTTTTCTTAAATTATTTACTTTTTTAGTAAAATATAAAAAATCAAATAAAAAGTTATGATTCAAAAAATTATAATAAATAACTATTAGAAATTTAATTAATAAAAATATATGGAAATAAATAACATATAAAATATTTATTAAATTGGAATGCGAAACAAATTTATATTGAAAATAAACTAAAATTCAAATATAAAAAAATAAATACAAACTATTAATAAGGCTTTTAAATAATTTTACATATATTTAAATACTTACTTAGACCTATCTAAAATATTTTTAATTGTAAAAATTATAAAATATTATAAAGAGAGTATTTTATATTCCTAATTAGGAAAAATAATTTAATGAAGTCTTATTAACAAAATGTTTTACAAAATAAATTATAAGGATATTAAAAATATTTATTTAAATATAAAATTAATCGTTATAAAATAAATAAAAGTCTACAATAATGATCAATAATTTAACTATTTATCCCTATATTACTATCAATATATATTAGACATGGTTTTAGAAGAATTAATTTTTTTTGTTTCAACAATAAAATATTATTATTTGTATATTATTATGATATAATATCTAAAAATTGTAGGTAATTGTTTAAATTTAACGATTTTTTCTAAAAAAAAATAAAAAAATATCAATTAATAATATTTTTTTTTTTAAAAAAAAAGCCATTATTCTTAAAAAATTAAAAATATAAAAAAGAACGTAAACAAGAGAGTATAATTAAAGAATTAAGAAAAATAATTTGAACTATGAAGAAGTTAAAAATTCATATATTTAAGTTACTAAGTATATTATAATACATATAATTAAGAGTCAAATATAAAATAAATTTGAAAATAAAATAAAATCTAAGTTATCTTATTTAATGCTCTATATAATATTATATCATGTATTAAATCCAATTATAATTTTAAAACTAGGTATTATAGAAATAAATTAAAAAATAAAAAGAAATTAAAATAGTACAAAAGCAAATTATTAAATATAATTTAAAAATACATTAAATTATATACATATAACTTTTTAATAAATTAAATAAAAGAAATTAAAATATCTAAATTATAAAGTAAGATAAAAAATAATTAAAAATAAAATTAAATAAATAATAGTTAAAATTCCATATTATATTTACAAAAATAAAAAAATACAAAAATGAGTATTATATAATAAATAATAAAGCTAATAAAAAAAAGAAGATTTTTAAATTTTTAAAATAATTAATTCATAGTAAATTTTTCTTAAATTATAATAAATATAAAAATATTTATTTGTAAAGATTATTAAGTATAACATAATTTAAAAAATTAATAAAAATACAATTTTTACTAGTAAAAAACAAAAAATATTGTACTATGAAATCAAGGATATTATAAATAAATGAATGAGGAATAAAAAGGATAAAGAAAGAAGCAAAAGCTTAAATTAAATTAGAAAATAAAAAAATAAATAAGAAAAATTAGATTAGTTAATAAGATAAGAAATAATCTAGATAAATAAATAATAATTAAATTTATAATGCATATTAAATAATAAAATTAATTATAATATTATTATTTAAATAATATATATATATATATATATATATATATATAATTATTATTTTTTAATTAAAATATTAAATTTCTTATTTAAAATTTTTATCCTTATGAATAATAAATATGTATAAAATTATTTATATATAATAATGTTGATAGATTATTTTATATTATATATACAATATTATTATAAGTATATATTAATTTTATTGATAATATTATCCTATAATATATATTATATTTAATAAATGTTATATATTTTTTTAAATATATAAAATAAAATATATATATTTAATCATAAATAAACAATTAAATTATTTTAAATTATTATAAAGATAAAATAAAAAAAAATGTAAGAAAACAAAATAGAAGGCATTGAAATTTCTTAAAATCATTTACCAAAAAAACCAATAGAAGAAGTAGAAGAAGACTATGAAAAATTGCCTCCAATAACTTTATTCCATAAAATAACACTCGCTCTTTTAGGTATATGTTCTTTAACCGGTTGGAATTCTATTTTAAATGCTTTTGATTTTTTTCAAGCTAAATTTCCAAAAAATGATTACGTAGATGTCGCTTTTTATTTCCCAATTCCGATTATGTGCACTAATTTTTTAGTCGGAGTGACTTTAACATTAATAGGAAATAAGATTCCTATTGAAAAGCGTATTCCTTTTGCTTTAAGAGGAGCTGTACTTACCTTAGTTTCTATTTGCTTGGTAGGTATTTACCTTAAATAAACATAAGCTGGTATTGCAATAGTATTCATTATTTTAATACTCTAAGGAATTTTCGATAGTCTAATCACAAACTCTTCTGTAGCGCTTTCTGGAGCTACCTAGAGTGGAGTATTAATAAGTATTTACTGGACTTTTACAGCTTTATCAGGTATTATTATGAATGTTTTGAGATTTATCGCTTTTGGAGCTTTCGGGCTAGAAGATTTAGATAATGGAACTGGTTTATATTTTGGAGTAGCAACCGGTTTCTATATAACAGGAAGTATATGTTTTACTATATTTACTAATTGTGACTATTATAAAGCTGTTTTGAAAAGAGATTAGATGAAAAATAAAAAATAAGAAGAATAATAAAATTAAGCAACACCAAATGCAGAAAAAGAGATTTTTAAAATCTAAGATAATAAAATAGTTGCTGGTAATGAAAATTAAGCATAGACAGCTTAATAATTATAGACTACTTAAAAAATATTAACTACTAATTAATTATAATCTGCTTAATAATTGGATATTGAAAATATTTAAAAAATATCTTTTTTGGATAAAGTCATAAATTTCTTATAAATAGTAGGGCCTGCACCTTTTTTTATATTTACTAATTATGTTTAGACTTTTATGCTTTTTCCCGGTGTCTCAGTTTTCTAAAAACCTTAATACACTTTAATTGAGTTCCCTTACGCTCTTGTTTTTATGTTTATGATTTATAATATAGGAGATTTTACAGGAAAAACATTAGGTGGAATCTAATTTTTATAAAAGTCATTTATAGCATATTCTGTAGTTATTTCTAGATTTTCATATTTTATTTTATTTATATTGATTGCTTAAAATGAAGGATCGAAAGATATGTAAAACGATCTTTTCTAATTTTTCCTTTTATTTACTTTTGCTCTTACGAATGGAATGATAACTACTATTTTAATGACTGTTGCACCTTAAAGAGCTACTAATGTATAAGATAGATATTTGATTAGTTACGTGAACATTTTCTCTTTGACTTTTGGTATTTCAATTGGATCATTTATGGCTTTGATTTTAGCTAAAAATTGATTTGATTTATTTTCTCAGATTATTATTAATGTCATTATAAATTAAAAAAAATTTTCTTAATTTTATTATTTATTATTAAAAAAATAATTTTTATTTATTGTGTATTATTTTTATATTTTTATATTTATAATATTAATTTTAAACATAAAAATTACTTGTTTATTATTATAAAAAATATATATCTTTTTAGTGTAATAATATATAAAATATAAAATGTTTTTAAATAATTTATAAAAATTTTTTGATAAGATCTTTATTTTATTGATTAAATTTAAAAATCTTATTAAAAAAATAAAGAAGTTTTTTTTAATAATTATATAGATATCATATTAGAAGATATTATTTAAATATAATTAAAAAATATATAATTATTAATAAGAAAATATAATTTTATATTATTTTATATTTACATCATGCATGTATTTTTCATTATTTGCCTTTTAATTTTAATTTTATACTAAATATGAAAGCAATTGAAAATACATAAAATTATTAATTGCATTTACTTATTGTTTTTTAAAAATTATGTACAAATTAAATGTTTTTAATATATGTAAAAAAATATTAACTGTGACTTTTATTTTTAATATTAAATAATTAATTAAATTTCGATTACATTTGTTAATTAATTTTTTCATAACTTTTGTAAAATTTAATCACTTTTTAAAATGTGATTTTTTTCTTATGTACTTTGCCAATTATTCGTTTTTAATAAACAAATTAAATAATCAAAAATATTTTATAAGTATTATCTAATTTAATTATTATTTCTTATATAAATTAAATAATTTATATTATAATTATATTATATTATTTAAATATATTTTATTAATATTTTTATAGCCTGTAAATTTAATATTTAAATTATAAATTCATATGATAGTAATTATTTTATTAAATTTTATAAAAAAAACTTTCATAAATTAAGAAATAATATTAATACTAAATTTAATAAATAGGTATCATTCATTTAAAAATTAAATATAAAATCAATTTATTATTCAATTAAAAAATTCATATATTTTAGATAAATTATTTTATCTATTTTTTTATAAAATTAAACTAAAAATAAAAAGAGCTTAAATTATCAAATTTAAAGCCTAAATTAAAATAACCTCAGTATATAAATATATAAAATATTAACCATTAATATAAAAAAAAGAAAAAAAAAAAAAAAATTGATTAATAAAATAAAGCATAATATAATATAATATAAAATAAAATATAAAATGACTGAATCAGTTGTCAAATAAAATTCTCAAAATCATTTTCCAAAAAATATATAAGAAGAAGAAGAAGAAGACTATGAAAAATTACCTCCAATAACCTTTTTACATAAAATGACATTCGCTCTTTTAGGCATATGTTCTATGACCGGTTGGAATGCCATTTTAAATGCTTTTGATTTTTTTCAAGCTAAATTTCCTAAAAAAGAATTTGTGAATGTAGCTTTTTATTTCCCAATTCCTATTATGTTCACTAATTTTTTAATCAGTGTAACTTTGACAATAATAGGACATATGATTCCAATCGAAAAACGTATTCCTTTTTCTTTAAGAGGAGGAATTATTACCCTAGTTTCTATATGCTTAGTAGGTATTTTCCTTCAAAAAACATAAGTTGGTATAATTTTAGTATTCATTATTTTAGTATTTTAAGGAACTATGGATAGTATTACCGTAAATTCTTCTGTCGCGCTTTCTGGAGCTACTTAAAATAGAGTATTAATAGTAATTTTCTGGAACTTTACTGCTTGGTCAGGTATTATTATGAATGTTTTGAGATTAATCGCTTTAGGAGCTTTCGGGGAAAAAAATTTAGATAAAGGAACTGGTTTATATTTTGGAGTAGCAGCCACTTTATATTTAATAGGAAGTATAAGCATAATGAAATTTAAAAATGGTAATTATTTCAAAGCCGTTTAGAAAAGAGACAAAATAAGAAATTAAAAATTATAAGAGCAACTAAAATAAATAATACCAAGTACTGAAAAAGACATTGAAAAACACTAAGACAATCAAATAGTTATTGATAATAATAATTAAATATAAACAGCTAAATAAATATAAACTAATTAATAAATATAAACTAATTATTAAATTTAAACATTTCAATAAATTGATGTTTTAAATAATAAAAATATGTCTTTTATGAATAAAATTTTATAAAAAATATTATTAGTAGGACCTGCGCCATTTTTTATATTTATTTGTTACGTTTAAAGTTATATGCTTTTTCCTGGTGTCTCGGTTTACTAAAAACCTAAATATACATTAATTAAATTCCCATTTGCACCTGTTTTTATGTTTGCGATTTTTAATATAGGTGATTTGATTGGAAAATCAATTGGAGGAATTAAATTTTTATAAAGATAATGGCTTGCATTTGCAATTATTTTTTCTAGATTTGCATATTTTATTATATTTATAATGGTTGCTAATAAAAAAGGATCCAAAGATATATAAAATGATATTTTTTAATATTTTTTTTTATTTATTTTTGCTATAAAAAATGGAATAGTAACTTCTATTTTATTTACCGTAGCACCTTTAAGGGCTAATAGTACAAAAAATAGAGATTAAATTAGTTACGTGTGTGTTTTCTCTTTGAAATTAGGTATTGCTATTGGATCATTTATGGCTTTAATTTTGAAAAAAAATTGATTTTATTTATAATTTTACATAATTTTTTTTTTATATAATAACACATTCTTTATATTTTTTTTTATTGTTTTAATTATTTTATATATAAAGAAATAATTTTAAAAAAGCCTCATTCATTATTATATATAAATTTTTTATTTTTAAAATATTTTATATTGAAAGTTTTACAAAAAGTTAATACTTAAAAGAATGTAACAACTTTTATATTTTTATTATTTTATTTACTAAAATTTATTTAAATATTTTTATCTATTATAGATGTTTCTAAAAATTAATAAAAAATATATATAAAAATAATACAATTATTATAGACTTTTATAAAAATAAATATATCTAAAACATTAATTTTTATAAAAAATGAGCATTTACTTATTCTGTGAATTTTTAATTATGCACAAATCTAGGATATAATTAAAATAAATAATATTAAAAAAAATATATAATATCATTCTACTTATTTAACTTTATATTTTTGATTATAATATAATTATTAGGCTTTAATAATTACTTTAAAATAACTATTTTTTAATTAGATAAAATAATACTAATTTTTTCTACATGTTAACACATTGATAATATTCAAATTATTTAATAATTTTAAATATTATAATCTAACTTTTTTTATAATTCAATAAATCATTATAATATTTAAAAATTTGCTAATAATTCATACAAAATAATACATTAAAATTTCAATTATTAAATTTTATGCTTTTATAATTATTTAATATTTAAAAAGTTTATTTTTTCTTTATTTAACTTCATATATAATGGAATTTATTAAAGATTTTATAAGTTATTATAAAATGCCTTAAATTTCTGAGAAGTTAAATTAAATCCTATAATTTATTTAGGTAGAATATAAAATTGTATATTTATTAAATTTCTTAAAGATTTTTTTTTATTTATATAAATATAATTTTTTTATTATCTGTTGAGTTTCTTGTTTCTTGCTTAAAACAAAAATTAATTACTTCTGTATTGAAAATTAGAGAATATATATTATGAAAAATTTTATAAAATATAAAATAAAAAATTATTTTTTGAATATAAAGTCCATCGTTAATTCAATATTAATGTTTTTTTGAGGTTAATAATTTTAGGGAAATATTAAATATAATATTATATTTTATTATATATAAGTATCGAAATATTAATTCAATAAATAAATATTCATAGGAAATATCGAAAATATAATATTATAATTTTAATTTATTTTTAATGCCATATTTTTATCTTATATGTATTTTAATTCATATTAAATACAAAAGAAAGTTAAAATATATTAATTTATTAAATGAATTTTCTCAATAATTTATTTTATGTTTTTTATATTTATCTTTTAATAAATTATGTTAAAACTATACATACTATATAATATTAATGTATTCATAAATAAATAAAAAATTTATATTTAATATTTATCATATTTTTTTTTTATATATATATTAATAAATATCTTTTATTTATAATTTTTTTTATTTATTTTTATAATTAAAAAATAACTTTATTATAAAATTTATTTTAAAATTTTTGTATTTTTTATAAATTCTTAAATTAAATATTTAGTTCATTCTATTTTTTTATATTTATTATGTTTAATTTCATTTTTTAATATAATAATAGTTTAGTTATAAAATAATATAAAAAATAAATATATTTTTTTTTTAAGAATTTTCTAATTTAATCATTTATTTTTAAATTATATATAAAAATAAACAATATATTTTAGTATCTTTTAATAATTTTTTTTTTTATTTTATATTTAATATAGTATAAATTTTTTATTTATTTATTTTAAAATTTATATACAAAAATAATAAATTTTTTAATATTTATCTTTCATATAATTATTATTAATATGATAGTTTATACATTCGATATAAAAATTATTAAATTAGTATGATAAATATTTTTAAATTAAAACAATTTATTTTTATTTATATTTTTTTTTATATAAATTAAATTAATTATAAAATTAGATTATTATAATTTTATTGTATCCTATGTTATATTTATTATAATATTTATAAATCATTTTCTTTATAATATTCAATTTAATTTTAATTATAATACTTTTCATAAATATAAATTCATATTTTATTAAAATAAATTATTCATTATTTTTTATTTTATTAATAATAATTATTTTCAAATCTATAAATTTCAATATTTTCTTTACATTATTTTTTTCTATTTTATTATTATTAATTTAAATATTTATGATTAAAAATCAAAGTAGTTTAGATTTATAATAAAAAATATGCTTAGAATATAAATTTAAATAATTAAAAGAAATTGAAGATATAAAATAAAATCAAATAAAAACAAATATATAAAGTAATCTAAAATAAAATAAAATTAAATTAAATAAAATTAAAATGACAGAATTAGCTAACATATAAATTTCTTAAAATCATTTCCCAAAACAACCATAAGAAGATGAAGAAGACTATGAAAAATTGCCTTAAATAACTTTTTTCCACAAAATAACATTCGCCCTCTTAGGAATATGTTCTTAATCTGGTTGGAACGCCATTTTAAATGCTTTTGATTTTTTTCAATCTAAATTCCCGAAATAAAATTTCGTAGATGTCGCTTTTTATTTCCCAATTCCTATTATGTTTACTAATTTTATAATCAGTGTAACTTTAGTAATAATAGGAAATATTGTTTCTATTGAAAAAAGTATTCCTTTTTCTTTAAAAGGAACTGTGATATCCCTAGTTTCTTTATCCTTGATAGGTATTTTCCTTAAATATACATTAGCTGGTATCTCACTTATATTCATTTTTTTAATAATTTAAGGAACTATGAGTTGCTTAACTAATAATTTATCCGTAGCGCTTTCTATGGCTACCCAAAATGGGATATTAATTAATATTTTTTTTACTTTTACTTCTTTATCAGGTGTTATAATGAATATTTTGAGATTTATTGCCTTAGGAGCTTTCGGAATAGAAGATTTAGATAATGGAACTGGTATATATTTTGGAGTATCAGCCTTTTTAAATTTATTAGGAAATATATTCATAAATAAATTCACAAATGGTTAATATTACAAAGCTGTTTAGAAAAGAGACTAAATGAGAAACTAAAAATTATAACAATAACAAAAATAAGCAATTCCAAATACAGAAAAAGACATTGACAAATTTTAAGACAACCAAATAGTTATCGGAAATGATAATTAAATATAGACACCTTAAAATAAATAGACTGCTTAATAAATATAAACTACCTAGAAATTGGATATTGCTTATAATTAAAATATTTCTTTTTTAGATAAAGTTTTAAATTTGCTTTAAATAATAGGACCTGCTCCTTTTTTTATATTTATTGCTTACGTTTAGACTTTTATGCTTTTTCCTGGTGTCTCAGTTTTCTAAAAACCTTAATATACTTTAATTAAGTAACCTTATGCACTTGTTTTTGTTTTTACGATTTTTAATATAGGAGATTTGATAGGTAAAGCAATAGGAGGAATCAAATTTCTATAAAAATAATTATTTGCATATTCCGTTATTATTTTTAGATTTGCGTTTTTTATTTTATTTATATTTATAGCTAATTAATAAGGATCCAAAGATATGTAAAATGATTTATTTTAATATTTCCTTTTATTTACATTTGCTCTTACAAACGGAATGGTAACTTCTATTTTAATGACTATAGCGCCTTAAAGGGCTAATAATGCTAAAGATAGAGATTTTATTAGTTATATGAGTGTTTTTTTTTTGACTTTTGGTATTACTGTTGGATCATTTATGGCTTTGATTTTTTAAAAAAATTGATTTTTTTATATTTTACTTATATTAATTTTAAATTTTTTATACATATATAAATGTAATTTTTTTATATCTAAATTAAACAAAAATTATTTATATAGATTGTCTTCATTTCATTTTTTTTTTTTTTAATTTAATAAACATTATTTAGATTAGAACCTTTTTATAAATGATATTACAAAATTTAATACTTAGATCTTAAACGATTTATTTAATTAACACAATATTAAGCATTTATTTGTGCTATAATAATGGAAGTAATTTTAAAAACTAATATTGAAAAATAATATTTTTTTAATTAATTAAATAAAACAAAAGTAACCTTTTATAATTATTTTAAAATTTTAGAATGTGTAATGATAACATTTTTAACAAAATAAATTTTCTAAAAATTTTAAATCAAAGAATCTAAAAATATTTTAATGTTTATTTATTCATAATCTAGTTTTAGTTAAAAGCTAAAAAATCAATGTAATAATATTATTTTTAATTAGTTTTGACCTTTTGTAATTTTAATATAATTATTCAGCTTTAATAAAATTTTCAAAAGAAAAAATTAATTAATAATGATAAATAATATCAATTTTTTCTACATGTGTACACTTTTTAATATTTTTATAATTATTTAATATTCATTTTATATTTTTAAAAGTTTATTCTTTCTTTTAACTATATATATTAAATGTGATTTATTAAATATTTTAAGTGTTTTTACAAAATACCTGAAATTTTATTTACAAAATAAAATTATATAAGAATATAGTGTTGTATATTTTACTAAATTCTTAAAATAATATATTTTATATTATATAAGAACCCTTAATTTTTTTATACCAAGTACAAAATTAATGTATTTTTTCTTCTTAATTTATTTAATTTTATTAATTTTTTTTTTATTAGCAATAATTTTTATATAAAAATTATATCTTTTTTAATTTTTATTTTATTTTAAATAATTTTTTTTTTTTATTATTTAATTTAATATAATTGAAATCTTTAATTATTTTTCTTTATTAAAATATATTATTATTTTAATTTAATTCTTTTATTTGTTTATATGAACAAAATATATTTACTAATATATAATCGAATTTTTAATATTTTATTTTAGAAAAAAATACACTAATTTTATTATTAATAATATATTTTCTTTTTTGATATTATAAAACAATATTTATGCTTTTATATTAATTTATTTAATACTATTTTAATTACTTTTGTATTATTTTTATATTTGTAATATTATTTTAAGGAAAAAAATTATTAAAAAATATTAATATTTTATATATAATATTTTATTTATGATTAAAATTGTTAATTATATATATTTTATTTTTTTAATATATTTTTCTCATTAAACAAGTAAAATTTTTATAAATAATATTTCCTAATTTAATATTTTTTTATTTTAATGAGATTTAAACTGTCTATTGTTTTACATCTTTTATCTAATAATTAGTATTCTTTATTTCTTTCAAAATTTAAGGTTTTATGTTTATTTCTCTAATTCTACTTTTAAATCAATTTTAGGTTTTACATCTCTAAATTTATGTTTAAATATTTTTAATTAAAAAAATTAATATTAATAATAATATATACCCATAAAAAAACTAATAGTTTTATTCTTTTTGATTGTATTTTTTATTAAATAATATATTTATAAAATTTAAAACTTTAATTTTGGATTTAGGTATGAGATAATAACAAAAATTAATAAGCATTCCTTGATTAGTAACCTTTAAAGAAAAAATTTGATGATCTGCAGACTTTTACATATTATCGTTATAAAATTTCATACATTTTTTTTATTAAATTCTTAAAAAGAATATATATCCTCTCCAAAGAGTATATTTTTCAGATATAAAAGTAGAATATTTTTCACAAAGATTTCCTTCCTAACGAATTATCTGCTATAACAATTTTTGGCAAATATTAGTTATATAATATTACTATATAAGCATTCTTTCAAAGTAAACATTTAATTTGGCTCTATGACTTATATTTTTTATATTTCACCTTTCATCTTTTTAAGACATTTATTTTGTTTTATAATGATATGAATAATTTAATTTGTATTTATTTTTAAGCATATGGTTTGTTTATTTATAAATTTAATTTATATATTATATTATATTATATTATTATTTATTTAAAATAACAATTTAAAAGTTTAATAGTAAAAAATAAAAAAATACTATTATTATTGTAAAATGAGCAAAAAATAAAAATATTAAAGTATAGAATATAAGGCTAATATTATGATTGGTAAAATTTAAATTATGTTATTTATATTCTCTTGATTTTAAAAAATAAATCTAATGTTAAATTATTCTTGAGAAAAAAAAAAAAAAAAAAGTTTAAGTTTTTCAAATAAAATTAACAAAGTAATAAATTTTTATAATTATACTTGCAAAAAATTGATTATTTACAAGAAATCTATGATAAAACTCCATAAAAATAAAAAACACAATTAATAAAAAATAGCATTTTTTAAAAAAAAACTCTAAGATTACTTTCTATTCTGGGTAATATAGAATAATTATTATTTTACAATTATAAAATCTGTAACAAAATTAAAATAATTTTCTTGATACAGATTCATAAATAAATTAAAAAAGATAAAGACAATTCAATGGATTAGTACAAATGTTTTTTTAAAAAAATATTCCCTAATTTAAACTATCGAATAATTAATTCTAATAAATTTAAAACAAAATTTTATAAAATACAAAGACAATTAAAAATTATATGTAATTAGAATAACTAAATAAAATTCATTAGGTTAATTTTACTAATTTCTTTTTAAAAAATTACAATTTAAAATATAAAAACTGTAATATTTAAATGACTTAAATAAAAAAAAAAAAAAAAAATATTGAAGATAAAAAACATGTAATATAAATAATATGAAAAATAAAATAAAATAATTTATAAATTAATTAATCAAATATCAAAACAATAAAAAATAAAATTAAAAAATAAATAATATGATTACGATAAACCGCAAATGGAATATTAATTAATAATAAATAAAAATGAATATAATATATATATATATATATATATATATATATATATATATATAATTATATTTTTACATATACTTACATATCTTTATTGTTTTTGATAAAAATATTATTTAAAAATATATCTTTTCCTTTATGCTTTTATAATTTATCTATATTTTTTAGTTTCATATATAAATATATATAAATTAAATAAAATTTTTAGAAAAATTAATAAAATTTAAATTACTTCTTTTTATTTCACTCTAATAATTTTATTTATCTTAAAAATTTAAATAAATTATATCGTATAAATTACTTGTGTATAATACTACATATAATATATTTTTATTTAATAATATTCAGTTAGTTCATTGCTAGATTAAAAGAAAATAATATAGAAATATATTAATCAATAAAAATATATATCTTTTTAAATTTATAATGCATTTTAATTGGTTATATTATCACATTTTTTTTTAAACTTTTAAGAATAATGATGAAGCTATGAAAATAAAGAATTTAACAGGAAATATAAAATCAAAAAAAACTGAATAATAAGAATAAATATTAATAAATAATAAAAAATTAAAAGTTATAAATAAAATAAATTATAAAGAAAATACAAAATAATTTTTTTAAAATTTTTTTATTATAATCTAACTATTTAAAAGATAAAAAAATTAAATATACAAAAATATATGAAAATAACTTTAAGTTAAATATTTATCTGGCTGGAGTATTATCATATGCCAGGAAAAAAAAATAAAAGATTATATTTAAATTTATTATTAATATTCAAATTACTTGCTAAATTATATATATTTTTTTTTAAATATTTCTAGTAAAACTAATTAAAAAACAAAAAGATTATATCGCATAATTTTGGAAAAATTTTTTTTTAAAAAAAGGTTTTTTTTGCTTAACTTTAATTACCTGCTTATAACAATATTTAAGTTAATAATTGTATATCTTATGTATATGTTAATTAAAAAAAAAAATACATATAATTAATTATCAAAATATAAATAGAAAATATAATATTATAATAATAATATATAACTAAACTAAATATACATATTTTTTTCTTATTTGCCATTTCATAATTTTTTATATATAAAATTATTTAGACATTGTTAATATATAAAATTATTATATGATTTTAATTATTATTTTTAATATTTTTACAAAAATAAGCGTAATCTTTATTTCATTTATAAATGTAAAAAGTATATAATCATAATAAAAACTATGTAAATATACTTTTGAATTTTATTAATATATAAATTTAATTATATTTATTGTTTTATAAATATAAATATTAAATATTTTTATATTTTTTATAATAATTAAATTAGATTATCTTTTTTATATTATATCCATTATTAAATATTTAATTATTTTATAATAAAATTTTTATATTTTAATTATAGATACATATAAAAATATATACAATTTTTTTAACATTATTTTATTTAATTTTTATTTTAGCCTATAAATTTAAAATTTTAATCTTAAATAAATATGACACTTGTTTTCCTATTAAATCTAAAAGAAATAAATAAAAAATTTAATCATAAATACATATTCATTTGTATAATATGTATAATATTATTATTTTTTTATAAATTTTATCTAAAATGAAAATTTTTATACTATTTAAATTCTTATATTTAAAATATATTATTATAATTTAAATTTTTAGTATTAAATAAATTTTAATCGACTAAAAATAAAAAACTCTTGTATAAATAAAAAAAAAAACATTTAAAAGAAAATAAAATACACAATATTATAAAAATTATTAAATAATAAAAAAAAAAAATTAACCATAAATTTAAAAAAAGATTTAATAAATAAAAAAAAAATACAGATTAAATAATAAAATTAAATATAAAAAAAAAAATATAATATAATAAAATAAATATAAAAAAAAATGACTGAATTAGTTATTGATAATAATAAAAATTCTAAAAAAGTTAGCCCAATGGAAAACTAATAAGAAGACTATGAAAAATTACCTCCAATCACATTATTCCATAAATTAACATTCGCTCTCTTAGGTATATGTTCTTTAACCGGTTGGAATGCCATATTAAATGCATTTGATTTTTTCCAAGCTAAATTTCCGAAAAAAAATTTCGTAGATGTCGCTTTTTATTTCCCGATTCCGATTATGTGTACTAATTTTTTAGTCGGGATATGTTTAACAATAGTAGGAAATAAGATTCCTATTGAAAAACGTATTCCTTTTTCTTTAAGAGGAGCTGTATTTACTTTAGTTTCTATTTGCTTGGTAGGTATTTACCTTAAATATACACAAGCTGGTATGGCTTTAGTATTCATTATTTTAATACTCTAAGGAACTTTTGATAGTCTGACAACAAATTCATCTATAGCACTTTCTGGAGCTACCTAAAGTGGAGAATTGATAGGCATTTTCTGGACTTTTACAGCATGGTCAGGTGTTATAATGAATATTTTGAGATTTATTGCTTTAGGAGCTTTCGGAATAGAAGATTTAGATAATGGAACTGGTTTATATTTTGGAGTAGCAACAGGTTTCTATATAATAGGAAGTATATGCATCACTATATTCACAAATTGTGACTATTATAAAGCCGTTTTGAGAAGAGATAAGATGAGAAATTTAAAATTATAACAACAAAAATAAGCAGATTCAGAAAAAGATATGTTTAAAATGTAAGATAACCAAATAGTTATAAATAATGAAAATTAATAGTAGACAGCTTAATAATTATAGACTGCTTAAAAAATATTAACTAATCAATAAATATAAACTGCTAATTAATTTGATGTTAATAATAATTAAAAAACGTCTAATTTAAATAAAGTTATAAATTTCTTTATAATAATAGGACCAGCTCCTTTTTTTATATTTATGACTTACGTATAGACTTTTATGCTTTTTCCTGGAGTCTCAGTTTTCTAAAAACCTAAATACACTTTAATTGAGTTCCCTTATGCTCTTGTTTTTATGTTTACGATATATAATATAGGAGATTTAGTAGGTAAATCATTAGGATCTGTATCTCTTTTTAAAAAACAATGGATTGCATACATTGAAGTTTTGTCAAGATTCACATTTTATATTTTCTTTTTATTGATTGCTAAAAAATAAGGATCGCTATAAATGTAAAATGATGTTTTCTAATTTTTCCTTTTATTTATGTTTGCTCTTACAAATGGAATGATAACTTCAATTTTAATGGCTTTAGCACCATAGAGAGCTACTAATGCTAAAGATAGAGATTTAATTTGTTACATGAGTGCATTCTCGTTGAATTTTGGAATTGCTATTGGATCATTTATGGCTTTGACTTTATCAAATAATTGATTTTTTATTTAATATGTATATATAAATATATATAAAAATATTTATATATATATATATATATATATATATTAATATATATATTTTATAAATATATATTTTTACATATTTTTTTTTGAAATTTTAAAATTTATTTAAAATAAATAATATATTTATTAAAGATAATTTAAATTTATATATAAGTAAATTAATATAAAAATAAAAATTTAAAATAAAGAATATAAATTATTTTATATTATAAATAGAGATATTATAAAAAATTAATATAATATATTATAATATAATATAAAAGATATATAAAAAATTGAATTAAGTTTTATTAATTTAAATTTAAAAATTAAATATAATTTTAATAAAAAATAAAATAATAATTATATTTTTTATAAACTAAATAAATGAAAAAAAATTTATTAATAAAAACATAAATTATATATATAAATATCATATTTATTTTTAAAAAATTTATTAACTTTGGTTTTTTAAAATAAAAATTTTATTATTTTTTACACTATTATATTATTCTTTATTATAATTATAATAATTATTATTATTATTATTATTTATATTCTTAATATTATTATAATATTATTATTATTATTATTATTATTATTATTATTATTATTATTATTAATATTTTCATAATTTTTTTTTTCTTAATATTATTTTTAATCAATTTTATTTTCAAATAGACTTCTATTATTAATTTTATAATTTTTTTTTTCATTTTCCTAACTAAATTAGTTATAATTATTTTAATGAAAAGAATTATATCCTTATTTATTATAAATAATCGTTTATATTTTTTCTTTTATTCTTAAATTTATTTTTTTTGATCATTACTATTTTAAAATTAATTTTGATTAACTTAGTATAACAAGTTTTTATTAATTTAAATTTTTTATGAAAACAATTTTTTATTTAAAATTTCAAATATTTATGCTAAAATTGGTTAAATATTATTTATGTTTACTTTATTTTTTTCCTCTGAAATTTATTTATCTTTTAAATTTTCCAAAATCTATTTTATTTTTAAACTATCATTTAATGTTTTTTCCACATAATCTGAATGTAGAAATTTAACTAAATATTTAATACTATTTTTATCTTCATTTATTTTACATTAAATTTTTTCCAAATTACTCGTAACATCGTTAATAGTATATTCAATTATTTTAAGTTACTACTTCTTATTAAAAACGCTCATTTTCTTCGTATTTTAACTACTTCTTATTGTAAATTTTCAAAAAAAGGAGTCTAATATTTATTATATT